GCGCCCCTGGAAAACCTTCTTGAATTACTCCAGGCCATTAGTTACTGCCCCTCCTCCGGGAAGCTCGGGATTCTGCTTTCACCTCTCCATTACTGCACTTACAATTCTGAACTGGAATTATTTGCTTCCACATCTTTCTCCATTAGGCAAGTTAATTCGCAGGGATTAGGTACACTCACTAATATTTGACTCCCTCTTAGACTCACTCACCGTACTTCTTTCTAGTCCGAAGAAGCTTGGGGCTGTCCCAAGTCAGCTGGATTGCAGGAAAGGCTGTCCCAGGCCCAGGTCAGTACTATTTCCTCCTTCTAGCTCCTAGCCTTTCGCTATGTAGGCAAGAGGGAGACGGTAAGGAGGAGGCAGGTGCATTGCAGGGCTTCTCACTTTCCTCCCACCAACTCCCCAGCATGACTACGGCATGTTCTCTGAGAAGCAGGCTTAGGGCGACTCTGTCAAGAAGCCTCTTTTTTATTTTTATTTTTTTTAAAGATTTTTATTTATTTATTTATTTATTTGACAGAGAGAGACACAGAGAGAGAGGGAACACAAGCAGAGGGAATGAGAGAAGGAGAAGCAGGCTTCCCGCCGAGCAGGGAGCCCGAGGAACCCGGGACCATGACCTGAGCCGAAGGCAGACGCTTAACGACTGAGCCACCCAGGTGCCCCTGTCAAGAAGCCTCTCGCTTTAGCTTTACATTCTTACTCATGCCGAATGGAAGAATTGGCTATTATTATGGTTCTTAAAAGAAATGTTTAAAATACACACTCTGTTCTCTTCGGAATTTTTCATCATACCCTTTTAGGTATTCTCTGAAATATGATAAGCCTTTACTGTCACTCCTTGGGAAGGAAAAAAGGATCGGGGACAAAACGAACTTCACTGACTATCTACCCTGTGGGCCTCACTGTGCTGTGTTGGGGGCAGACAAACATTCCGCCCTCGTGTTGCGCATATCCTGACACCTGGGATTTAAACGTCCTCTGTTTAAAGTTAACACGTTAAACAATTTTAATGTTTAAATAAGTTAAAATGATGCTGATTTTGGAATCAGACTTTTGTTCAGTTTAAACTTCAGCTACTCAATGACGATTTACTGAGTGCCCAACACAAGCCAGCAGTGTGCTCTTACTGGGGACAGGGTGGTGAGCAAGCTAGACTTGATCCCTTCCTTAATGAAGCTTATGTCTACCAGGGGAGACATGCAATAGTCAAATGATTACATAAATAATTGTGAATTATAACTGCAACCAGTGCTTTGAAGGGAAGCATGCAGTACTGTGAGATAAGCTGATATTAGGTACGGATCTAGTCAAGGTTTGAAGGAAGATCAGGAGTTAATTAAAGGGGGACGGGGGAAATACCATCCAAGAAGAGGGGAGAAAGTGTAGACAAGTAGGAAAAGGCTAGATCTGTGTGTCACAGTAGCCACTAACCACATGTGAAATTGAGCCCTTGGAATCTGGTTAGTGTGCTTGAAGAACTGAAATTTTAATTTTAATTAATTTAAACTTAAAAACTGAAGCAGTTGATTATATGTTGAAATGATTATATGTTAACATTGATTATATGTTGAAATGATAATATTTGGGACATAGGAGTTAAATAAAAGGCTCAAATTAATATAACCTGATTTATTTTTTATTTTATTTTATATTTTTTAAAGATTTTATTTATTTATTTGACAGAGAGAGACACAGCGAGAGAGGGAACACAAGCAGGGGGAGTGGGAGAGGGAGAAGCAGGCTTCCTACCGAGCAGGGAGCCCGATGCGGGGCTCGATCCCAGGACCCTGGGATGGTGACCTGAGCCGAAGGCGGCCGCTCAACGACTGAGCCACCCAGGCGCCCCTAACCTGATTTTTTTTTTTAATCTTTAAAATATGGCTACTAGAAAATTCTAAACGACACATGTGGCCCCCGTATGTTTCCATTGGATAGTTCTGGGTTAGACCGTGCAGTTTGGTTCTAGGACATAGAACTCTCCCCTTTTCAACGCACTGGGGTGTAGTTGGAAGAAAATTGCACTTGGGGCCAGAGACCCATGGGATCTGGCTCTCATTGGATGGATGACCTGGTGCACTCACTAGGCACCCAATAAACATCCCTTCAACGGCTCTGGGTTTATTTCTTCAAATGGAACCAATAATACACAGGACTTCAGGAGATCTGGCGTTGATCCTCGAGTAGTTCCCTGCCCTTGCTCACTGTGCCACCTTGAAGTGGTCCCTGGGCCTCAGTTTCTCCTGCTCGTAAAAGCCGATCAGTGTCGGGACGTGGGGAGGTGGCAGCGTGCGGAAGAGGGCAGGGCGGGTCATCGTCTGTCTGTACGTCTTACCTGAAGACATAGGCGGAATGTGACGAACTTGGGGCCGTTTCCGCCACGGGTCCTTCAGCGGACCCCGCAAAGTTCTGGATGGGACATCCGACACCTGTTGCCCCCACATGCACCAGGAAGGGGTGCCCTTTGCTTTGCGGTCGGGGAGGAGGAAGAAGAGGAGGAGGGGCGTCGGGGAGAGGCCCATTTTGCTACTGTGAGTCCTGGCGTTCTCAAGGCAACGCCAGGCGCTGTCACCACTTCCACCTTTCCCACAACAATGGAACCGTGGTGAGCCACCGCGGCGCCCGCGACACGCCGTTACCACGGTGACGGCCCCAGGTGGCTGGGGAGACCAGACCAATGGGTTTGTGGTTCCTCTTCCCAGTCTCTAGCACGGGGAATGTAAGTGACTCCAGGAGACATCCCCTCCGGAGTCTCTTTAATATACCGAGGGCAGTCCTCAAGCGTTTCTGGTGCCTCGCGTAGGCTCCCGTTGTGCCCCGCACCGCGCCGGGCACCCCCACCTCCCGCGATGGTAGAGTCCGGGGGCGGGGATGCGCATGCGCACACAGGTGGCGGGGGGCGGAACAGCGCCGGAGCCGTGGTCTAGGCGGGTGACGCGAACCCTGCAGGCGGTTGCCGGCAAGTATCGGAATGCATTTGGACCCGGGCTTCTGGGATGCGCTAGGTCTAAGCACAGCGTCGCCCCTGGGCCCGAGGACGGGGGGGACGCCCGGGTGTTTCCCAGGGGACCCAGGGCTTCCCAGCCGCTGGAGTGGCCCGAGGGCGCGGGACAGGGGGCGGAGGCTGGGTTCACCCTAGGCCCGTCACCGCCCTTCTCGCCTCGATTATAAACTGGGTTGGTAATTCCTCCGGGTAAATCGGCTGCGAAGAGGATTAAAGGACGTGCGTGTGAACGTTTGTTCTCTACCGTTAGTTGAGTCCAGCGCCCGGGGTGGCAGAGTATCTGCGCGGCACGTACTGGGCTAGCTCTGAACTCTTTTGAGAATCCAGTGAAAGCCAAAAACTACTCCCTCACCTTCTTGTTAGATTAAAATAGGATAATGTATTTTATGGCCCATTGCAAACTAAAGCATTGCGCAGTGATGAAGTGATTATTACTAGCCCAAGGGAGTAGAAGCCCAATCGCACTACTTTCCCACCGTGTGACTGGGGACAAGTTGCCTGGGACATACTTACCTCGATCTATTTTTCAGGGTTGTTGTGAGCATCAAATGCCACCGTTTTTTGTTTTTTTTTTTAAGATTTTGTTTATTTGACAGGGACACAGCGAGAGAGGGAACACAAGCTGGTAGAGCAAGAGGGCGAAGCAGGCTTCCCCCTAGGCAGGGAGCCCGATGTGGGGCTCGAACCCAGGACCCTGGGATCATGACCTCAACCGAAGGCAGACGCTTAACGACTGAGCCACCCAGGCGCCCCCAAATGCCACTGATTTTTATTAACACTATAACAACCTGTAAGTGGGTACTGTTGTTATCCTTGTTTATAAATAAGCCTGAGGCCCAGAGAAGATTAAGTTCTGGGGTACCAGTGGGGCTGCGCGGCAGAGCCATGATTGGAACCCAGACGCTCTCCCTTTTCTTTCTTAGAGCTGAGCCCTCTCACTCCAGGGAGTTTAACTAGACAGACAGCTGCCTTGGATCAAGGGGCTCAGCTGGGACCTCAGGGTCCACACTAATGTTCCAGGATCTTAGGATCTCAGTCAAAGTTGTTTGTGCATTATTGGGTATGACTTAAAAGGCATCTCGTCCAGACACTTCCTTTTCCTCGCCTGTAATATACTGGTGATAGTTCTCTGCTTAAGGGTTAGGAGAATTAATGAGGTCACAAGGGAAGTGCCCCTGTTAAAACCCTGAGAAAGAAAGTAATTTAGCCAGGGTTTAGCATGCAGTTGAGGGGCAGAGCCAGACCTGGTACTTGGTCTGTTGTGTCCAAGTGATAGGCTTAGGCGTAGTACTCTTTGCACAATTGCAGGCTTTGCAAGAACACCTTGGCCAAGTATTTTTCCTTCTTCAGATGTCTCCAGGTTTTTGGAAGGAGAGAGGCTGCTTTTTAGTTGTTTTTTGTTCATTTGTTTTGTTTTTTCATAATTATACTATCATTGTAGTAATTTATTAAATCCAAAAGTGTATTTCTTTTTGTTAATTTTTTAAATGCCTTTATTTATTTGAGAGAGAGAGCACAAACCGGGGGTGGGGTGGGGGGAGGGCAACAGGCAGAGGGAGAAGCGGGCTCCCTGCTGAGGAAGGAGCCCAATGTGGGGCTTGATCTCAGGACCCTCCCAGGACCTGGAGATCATGACCAGAATGGAAGGCAACCGCTTAACCGACTGAGCCATCCAGGCGTCCCAGTATATTTAAAAAAAATTTTTTTTTTAATTTTATTTATTTGAGAGAGAAAGAGAGCGCGCGCGCGCGCGCGCACACACACACACACACACACACACACACACACACACTCTCTCTCTCTGCACGAGTAGGGGGAGGGGCAGAGGGAGAAGCCGGCTCCCTGCTGAGCAGGGAGCCTGACGTGGGGCTTGATCCCAGCACCCAGAGATCATGACCAAAGCCAAAGGCAACGGTTTAATCGACTGAGCCACCCAGGCGCCCCCAGAAGTATATTTATTTAATATAATTCGATATTATTATAACATATGAAATTGCTACCTCTTGACCACTTTTTACCTATAAAAGGATTTCACTAAAGCCACCATCCTACTCCCCTTCCCACATTTAACCACAGTAAGCAGTTTGGTGTATCTTTCCAGATTTTTTTTTTCTATTTTTTAATTTACACACCTATATTCTTACCTTTTTTTTCTTTCTGTCTTGTGGCGTTATAGTATACACATTGTTCTGCATCTTGCTTTCTTAGTGCTTAAAGTGTGTTGGAGGTCTTTCCAGGGCAGTCCATACACAGCTGCCTCATTGTTTTTACTTGTCCTGTTGCATTCCATTATAATAATGTGCTACAATGTATTTGGCTATACCAACCATTGGTAGACATTTTGGATTGTTTTTTATTTTTCACTTTTACCAACAGTAGGGAACATATGTCTGTACATGTCCAGTTCTTTCTGGAGGATAAATTTTTAGAAGATGTGGTGGTCAAAAAGAATGCACATTTATTTTATTTTTTTAAAGATTTTATTTATTTATCTGAGAGAGAGAGAATGAGAGATAGAGAGCACGAGAGGGAAGAGGGTCAGAGGGAGAAGCAGACTCCCTGCTGAGCAGGGAGCCCCATGTGGGACTCGATCCCAGGACTCCAGGATCATGACCTGAGCTGAAGGCAGTCACTTAACCAACTGAGCCACCCAGGCGCCCTATTTTATTTTATTTTTTTTAAGATTTTATTTATTTTTTTTGACAGACAGAGAGAGAGAGACAGCGAGAGAGGGAACACAAGCAGGGGGAGCTGGTGGGGGAGAAGCAGGCTTCCCACCGAGCAGGGAGCCCGATGCAGGGCTCAGTCCCAGGACCCCGGGATCATGACCTGAGCGGAAGGCAGACGCTTAATGACTGAGCCACCCAGGTGCCCCAAGTATGCACGTTTAAAATTTTGCTAGGTTTTGCCTAACTGGGAAAATCACAGCATCTTATGTTTCCACCTAAAGAAAACTAAAGTGTCTTTTTATCCACACCCTCACGAGCATTGGATATTTTTCATCTTTTAAGTTTTGCCAATATGGTGGATGAAAATGCTTCTTTTTATGATGTACCCCACTAGTTATTAATATGAGAGTAATTTGATATATACCTTTAGCCAGCTGACCATGACTGTGGACCCTGGGAAAATTTGGCTAACTTCTCCACGCCCTAGTCTTCTCACCTCTGATATGGATAGGAAAACACCTACCTAATGGGGTTGCTGCAAGGAATAAAAGAAATCTATGAAGTGTGCTCAGCATTGGGCCCAACCGATGGTGGCTAGGCAGAAAGTGATACTAGTTTGTGTTTACTGTGCTCTTTTCTTTTTGGGGTTAAACAATTTCTTCCCAGATATTCTCCTTTCATTCTTGTTCTGCCCTCTACAGACATCAGATTACTTGTCTTCCCTCTTCCACCCTTTTACTTTTCTCCAGAGAAACAATACCAGAGCCTTCCACTGTTTTGGATGACACGGTAGCGCAGCTTCAATCTCTCTCAGCATCTTGGTCCCCACTGCTGTCCCATCCACTACCAAGCTGGAAGCATTCTGCTTTGTCCAAGTACTCATATTGTGCCCAGGCTCAAATGCCATCCCCTAGGTTGTGGATCTACTGCTGTTTTTAATTACAAATACACACCTACCAATGAAACTCTCATGAGTACACCTGCTCCAAATATCTTTATTTTTATTTATTTATAGATCATACAGACATGAACTTCTGTATTATATATTGTAATACCTCCAAAGAACCTTCTAGACTTTTATCATTAATCTTAGTGACATTAATTTCTACATCACTGAAAATAGCACAGTTTTTCATCACGTTCTCATTGAGGGCATGTCTTCGTAATTGTGATGGGTTCAAACAATGAGTTATCTTTTAATGATAGTTGATATAAACCTTGTTTCACATGGTCTTGAGAAATTCTCTCTTTTTATGGCCTGCTTTTTGTCAGATGTGATTAATTCATTACTGTTTTGGTTTTTTTTTTTTTTAGGGTTTTATTTATTTGAGAGAGAAAGAGAGAGTGTGCGCACGCACGCGTAAGTAGGGGGAGGGGCAGAGGCAGAGGGAGAAGCAGACTCCCCCCTGAGCAGGGAGCCTGATGCCAGGCTTGATCCCCGGACCCTGAGTCATGACCTGAGCTGAAGGCAGATGCTTAACTGACTGGGCCACCCAGGCACTCAATTCATTACTGTTTTTATCTCATAATGTGGCAGAGGAAGATTTTATACATAGGAGTAGGAAAATCAAGAGCTCTGTTTCCTTCTGTTCATTTGTCCTTTTTTTTTAGATTTTTTTATTTATCTATTTGACAGAGAGAGACACAGAGAGAGAGGGAACGCAAGCAGGGTGAGTGGGAGAGGGAGAAGCAGGCTTCCCGCCGAGCAGGGAGCCCGATGTGGGGCTCGATCCCAGGACCCTGGGATCATGACCTGAGCTGAAGGCAGACGCTGAACAACTGAGCCACTCAGGCGCCCCCATTTGTGCTTTTGTTATGGTTATTTTCAGTCTACAGTTTCTTAGAAGGAATCTTTTTAAACTACTTGTGTATTATAAGTTAAAATTGGGTAATGTCTGGGAAGAAATGAACCTTGACCTCTGTCTCACACCTTGTACAAAAATTAATTCCAGATGAATCATAGTCCTAAATGTGAAAGCTAAAACAATAAAATTTGCAGAAGGTTATATATATGAAAATATGACCTTGGAATGGTAAAATAAAAATAAAAAAAATATGACCTTGGAGTAGGCAAAAATTTCTTAAATAGGATACAAAACACTAATCATTAAATAAAATTGATAGAGGGGCGCCTGGGTGGCTCAGTTGTTAAGCGTCTGCCTTCAGCTCAGGTCATGATCCTCGGGTCCTGGGATCCAGCCCCGCATCAGGCTCCTTGCTCGACGGGAAGAAGCCTGCTTCTCCCTCTCCCACTCCCCCTGCTTGTGTTCCCTCTCTCACTGTGTCTCTCTCTGTCAAATAAATAAATAAAATCTTTAAAAAATATAAATAAATAACAAAATAAAATTGATAGATTCCATTAAAATTAAGAACTTCTTTAATCAAGAAGAAGCCAATAAGCAGGAAGACAAGTCCCAGATTGGGAGAAGATATTTTCAGTATTCTCTGTACAATAAAGGACTTATAGTCAGCATATATATAGAGCCCTTACAAATCAATAAGAAAATGGTAGAAAGGCCAGAAGAAAAGTGGCAAAAGATGGGCGCCTGGGTGGCTCAGTCGTTAAGCGTCTTCCTTTGGCTCAGGTCATGATCCCAGGGTCCTGGGGTCGAGTCCCACATCGGGCTCCCTGCTCAGCGGGAAGCCTGCTTCTCCCTCTCCCACTCCCCCTGCTTGTGTTCCTGCTCTCACTGTCTCTCTCTGTCAAATAAATAAATAAAATCTTTAAAAAAAAAAAAGAAAGAAAAGTGGCAAAAGACTTGAACAAGCATGTCACAAAAGAGGGTATCTAAATGTCCGATGAGTATATGAAAAGGTGCTCCATTTAATTACTTATTGGGGAAAAGCAATTTAAGCACTCAATGTGGTACTACCAAAATAGATAAAATGAAAAAGATAGGAAATGCCCAAAGTTCAAAAGTTCATACACTGTTGGTAGGACATATAAATTGGCTCAACCACTTTGGAAAACCATTTAGCAGTATCTACTACAGCTGAATATATGAACACCCTACAACTCCACAGTTCCACCTCCGGGTATAGAATCAGAGAAGTGTACTTAGGTGTACAGAAGTACATGTCCACATATGTTCTTAGCATTACTGTTTCTAATTGACAAAAACTGAAAACAGTCCAAATGTCCACTTACTCAGAATATTTTACTGCAATGTGAATAAACAAACTCTTAACTACACAGAACACAGACAAGTCTCACAAACGATATCGAGTGAAAAAAAACCAAATACAGAAGAAGACATAGTGCATGAATCCATGGATATAAGGCTGCTCGGCGAGGTAGGCAGGGTGATGAAATGTTCTGTATCCTGATCTGGAGGGTGGCTACATAGGAGTCGGGGTGGTGTGTGTGTGCAGTAAAAATTCATGAAGCCATACACTTACAATCTGTATACTTTTCTGTGTTATACATAAATATACAAAAATATTTACCCCACCTCCCCACCCCCAAAAGGGCAGTGTCAGTAAATCTACTTCACTGCGCCTGTGTGAATTGCAGTAGGTTGTAATGTGCTGAAAGCAAATGTGTGGTGTTGTCAGCCCTGCCATGTGGTGGGCCTCCTCCTTCCACTGGACACCTCACCTGCCACACAGGACAGGTGGCCTTCTGACATAGGACTGACTGAGGGGCACCATTGTCATGGAGTCTTTGGGGCGCCTGGATGGCTCAGTTGTTAAGCGTCTGCCTTCGGCTCAGGTCATGATCCCAGGGTCCTGGGATCGAGCCCCACGTTGGGCTCCCTGCTCCGCGGGAAGCCTGCTTCTCCCTCTCCTGCTCCCCCTGCTTGTGTTCCCTCTCTCGCTGTGTCTCTCTCTGTCAAATAAATAAAATCTTTAGGGCGCCTGGGTGGCTCAGTTGGTTGGACAACTGCCTTCGGCTCGGGTCATGATCCTGGAGTCCCTTGGATCGAGTCCCGCATCGGGCTTCCTGCTCAGCGGGGAGTCTGCTTCTCCCTCTGACCCTCTTCCCTCCCATGCTTTCTATCTCTCATTCTCTCTCTCTCTCAAATAAATAAATAAAATCTTTAAAAAAATAAATAAATAAAATCTTAAAAAAAAATAAAATAAAAAATAAGATGGAGTCTGTGCAGGGGCTCTTGCCCTACATGTGATTCTCACCAGCGTCCAGGAACGAGCAGGATTGCATTCTTTGTGCTAGACTGTAAATCTGGTGATGTCACCTCATGACAAAACTTGAAACGGGCAAGTTAGGCATTTGCCCGTGGTGACTAAACTGTAGAGCCCTACGGTCCTGCACTGAAATTCTAGTGACCACTTAGGACCTTAGTCTTTCTAAACTTCATCTGTTCAATGGGGATAACAAGGGGAATAAACAAAGCATGGTTGTGAGAGTTGAGGTGTTTCATGCAAGGGGTTCATTGAGCATTCTTCCTAGTGAGCTCTCAACACATGTGCGCCATCACCAGGATTGTTAAGAGCCACGTGGTAAGATGTATGTTTTCATGATTTGAGGATGGTGGCGTAAGGTCATTAACCCATCTGTTTGTATCTGTGACTTTTTCTGACGGTAGGAGAAGGGAGCATCGACCTCTCCTTCATCAGGCCCAAGATGCCTCTCTTTGGGAATACGTTCAGTCCCAAGAAGACACCCCCTCGGAAGTCCGCTTCTCTCTCCAACCTGCATAATGTGAGTATTACTGCTGGGGCCCATCCCAGTGCGCAGGGACTGGAGCATCAAGCCTGGTCTCTGATGGAAAGTGTGGTTCTCTAGAGGCATCCTTGTAAGGAGGACATCCTTCTAATTCATATTATTGCTATTGCTAAAAACATTTTTTTTTTTTAAAGATTTTATTTATTTATTTGAGAGAGAGAATGAGAGATAGAAAGCACGAGAAGGAAGAGGGTCAGAGGGAGAAGCAGACTCCCCGCCGAGCAGGAAGCCCGATGTGGGACTCGATCCTGGGACTCCAGGATCATGACCTGAGCCGAAGGCAGTCGCTTAACCAACTGAGCCACCCAGGCGCCCGCTAAAAACATTTTTAACTCCTGGGGCACCTGGCTGGCTCAGTCAGAAAAGCACGCAACTCTTGATTTTGCGGTCATGAGTTTGAGCCCCATGTTGGGTATAGAGATTACTTAAATAAGTAAACTTAAAAAAAATTTGTTTTTAAAGATTTTATTTATTTGAGAGAGTGAGCAAGAGAGAGAGAGAGAGAGTACACGAGCAGGGGCAGAGGCAGAGGGAGAAGCAGACTGCCCCGCTGAGCAGGGAGCCTGACGTGGGACTCGATCCCAGGACCCTGGGATCATGACCTGAGCTGAAGGCAGACACTTAACCCACTGAGCCACCCAGGCACCCCCCCAAAAAAAAAACCATTTTTAACTCCTGTTTGGAAATCATCATCAGAGCATGTTCAGGAACCTGGTAAGATGGTCAGTGGCAGGATGGTTTTTGGCTCCAAATGGTATCATCCAGCTAGCTTTCACTTTATTCCCAAGACCTGGCCAGGGATTGATTTTAATTGTGTCTGAGAATCAAATTCATTCTCAAAGGATGATGTTTTGCCACCGTTAATGGCATTCAAGGGTGTGTTGAAGCTCCAGATGCGGCTCCTGGAGCACAGGGCTGGTTGCACTCATCCCAGAATGCCCAGTCCTAGTCCCGGTGCCTCATGGCTGCGGAGTGAGTTGTAGAAGCTCTGAAAACCACATTACAGCCCAGCTACAACTACAGACCGGGAGTTAGCGTTTCACGAAGCCTTTTCCATGACCTGTAGAGCTCCATGGTAAGCAACGGATAACATAGGAGCTTATTACCTCTAGAAAGGATTTTCTACTTTATTAAAAATTTATAGTAAGATTTCTTAAACTGGGGGCGCCTGGGTGGCTCAGTCGTTAAGCGTCTACCTTCGGCTCAGGTCATGATCCCGGGGTCCTGGGCTCGAGCCCCGCATCGGGCTCCCTGCTCCGCGGGAGGCCTGCTTCTCCCTCTCCCGCTCCCCCTGCTTGTGTTCCCTCTCTCGCTGTGTCTCTCTCTGTCAAATAAATAAAATCTTAAAAAAAAAAAAAGATTTCTTAAACTGTGAAGTGCCCAGCAGATGTCATATAATTCAAATTTCAGCATATATAGTTTTTCTGGAAAACATGTATCGTATAATAAAGTGGGAGGTTTCTTCTTACAGTGTAAAAGTTTTTGTTGTACCTTATTTGATTTTCTGACTTTGAACAAAAGCGAGAAAATGTGCCCGGTGATGATTAGAGGAAAGAAATGATTTGCCGGGGTCACACAGTTAGTGGGACTGTCTCGTCCACAGCTGGATCGGTCAACCCGGGAGGTGGAGCTGGGCCTCGACTACGGAACCCCCACCATGAACCTGGCGGGGCAAAGCCTGAAGTTTGAAAATGGCCAGTGGATAGCAGGTGGGCTGATCTCCTGCCGTGGTGTCCACGGAGAGCGTGGAAGCAAAAGCCCCCATGTAACTGCCCATTCTGTCCTTCCCCCAGAGACGGGGATTAGTGGCGGTGTGGACAGGAGGGAGGCCCAGCGCCTCCGCAGGCGGAACCAGCAGTTGGAGGAAGAGAACAATCTCTTGCGGCTAAAGGTGGACATCCTACTGGACATGGTGAGGAGGGCGATGGGAAGGGACGTCTAGGCTTTTTTTTTTTTTTTAAACATTTTATTTATTTATTTGACAGAGAGACAGCAAGAGAGAACACAAGCAGGGGGAGCGGGAGAGGGAGAAGCAGGCCTCCCGCTGAGCAGGGAGCCCGATGCGGGGCTCGATCCCAGGACCCCGGGATCATGACCCGAGCTGAAGGCAGACGCTTAACCGACTGAGCCACCCAGGTGCCCCTGCCTAGGCTTTTCTGGTGGGAGGCTCCACCACGAGTCATTCCATCCAAGCCCGGGTACAGTGCTTTGAATCTAAAGATCCAGATCATACAGCGCCCCTGCTCTCAAGGGCTCACAGTCTAGCAGGGAGGTGGGCAGTAGGCACACACAGTGACAGGGCCTCATGGTGAGGGCAACGGTTGGAGTCTGCGTTGGGCCGGGTGTCAGCACAGGACGGGGAACAAGTCATTCTGTCGAGTCCGGAGGGTGTTGGAGGAAGGGATATTTGAGCTGAATGTGGAAGGATAAAGGGAGGAATGAAGGCTTTCCAGGAAGAAGGACCGTCTGCCCATGGCTTGGAGGTGTCCCATATCAAGCGGGCCCAGACCTGCCGAGGAGCACGCTCTCTCAGTTCCTTGTGGCTGCAAAAGACCCAGTGGGCCGCTGGGCCTGGGGCTGCAGGTGAGAGGTGACTAGGACACAGGAGAGCCCTTGCTGTCATGCGTTCTGGACCAACCCGCCTGGTTCCTTGTGCAGCGCCGCCACTGGCTTTGTGACTTGAGCAAATTACTTCACGGCTGCAGGTGTCGAAACTTAGTGTCTTCATCAGCGAAACAGGCACCATGAGAGGATCTGCCTCATACTGAGTTAATAATCCAAGTAAAGCACTTGGAAAAGAGAATTGCTCAGAAGTGTAGCTTTTCTCCCCCCGCAGTAAGCTGACCTCTACTTTGGAGAGTAAAGTTTCTGTCCCTGTCCTGAATATCTTCCACTTTCTACTCTAAAGTCCATTGAAAGATCCTAATGAGGAAAGTGGCATTCTTTTTCAAGCATTTTTTTCCCCTAATCACCATTATGTGAGCTACGGCTCAGAAACAACTCAGACCCTAATTCTTTAGCCTTAGGAAGGCCCATTGTCTGCCTTTTTCATCCTGAGGCCTGCTCTCTTTAAGGCAGTGCATGCTGAGCAATCCTAGGTGACCAGAATGTTGCGAGGGTGGATTGTGGCTGTTCTTTATGTACTGGAGGCCCTGGGGTTCCCCAAGGAGTTCCCACGGTGGACGGCATCGGCGGTGTGAGAGAGAGGCCGGCGGCGGGGGGGGGGGCCCTTTCCCTAGTGCACACAGCTGCCCTTGCGAACGTGACTCAGCGCAGAAGGGTCCTGCTTTCTTACAGTCTCCTGCCTTCATTTCAGCTGTCCGAGACCACCGCCGAGTCCCACTTAATGGAGAAAGAATTGAAGGAGCTGAAGAGCGTCAGCCGCAGGAGGAAATGAGCCCCTGAAGATACTCGTTAGGAGAAAAGGACATTTGTTAGGAGAAAGTCCACCGACCAGAGGAGTGGGGATGTGGCTGAGGGTTTTTTTGTAGCCGAACTAGGGGATTAGGTACTGGGAGAGAGGTATAATGGGGTGAAAGGCCCCCCTCAGGTTGGCAGCAGGAAGGTACAACATTGCTGGCAGAAACCAGGACCCCAGGCCAGGGCGGTGAGCAGGAATGAGCCCTGGCGTACTGCCGGTAGTCACTTCACGTACGAATGTGCCTCCCCAGGTTCTCCTCGCCGGACTGATGCAGCTGGCTGAAGCAGCTGGACTTCATTGCCTCACCGCTCATTGCTGGTATTTGGGGTGTGGCACGAGCACTTCTAAACGGCTTGTGTTGGGGGCCTCCGATGAGCAGCCCTCCTGGTTCTCTGCACCGTCCCTTCCCCGCCCCGGGGCTGCTTTCTCTGTCCTTTAAAGAATACTTGTTCGTGGACTCCATCCCCCTCTTCTGGCTTCAGCTTCTCGGTGGCGAGCCCCAGCGTTCCACGGCAACACTATTTTTGTGCTACTTTCCTGTTTACTTTCTCAAAATTAAATGATGGTATATAATCTGTCTGTGGCCAAAGTGACTGAGAAATGAAAGTAGCAGTTCTTAAAGAAGTCAGTGGACCCTGGAGTCTAAGCTTCTGTTTGGCTGTCCAGAGACAGAGTTTTTAAGTTGTGGGGAAATGTCACCCCTGCAGGAGAAGCATTCCAGCTTCCCGGGCATCCGCCGAGGCTGACTGGAAACAGAACAGTCTCTCTGCCCAGATTCCTCTGCTGTCCTTCAGAGATCTGGGACTAGCCTGGACCTGACAGGGACCGAGTCGTCGAGCGGTCTGGTCGAGTGGTCGGGGTGGGGGCCTGCTTTCCTGGAGAGGGAATTTGCACCTCAGTCTGTGTGAGCTGAGCTGCTGTGGCTGGAGGAGGGAGTCAGTGAGGGAACCCAGCTCCCAAAGTTAAGGGGGAGGGCACTGAGATGGGGACAGGGGACAGAGCCCAGAGCTGTAGCCTGGCAATGGCTATGATGGTCAGCAGTTTCTGAAAGCCTGTGACTTGTGTGGAACCGACCTCAGCACCTTCTCCTCCTACTCTTGTCTCCCTCAGCTCAGCCCTGTGAATGGGGGACTGGCAGCAGTTGTCCTCAGAGGTAAGGAACCAGGTTCCAGGAGGTTCAGAAGCTGGTCCAGGATCATACAGAAGTGTGAGAGTCTGCTGACTCCCAGCTCCTGGTGAAAGGGAGGAGCTGGTAGGGGACGGCCTCCAGTGGACCAGCTCTAGGGGAGATGGATAGAGGCTCCACCCCATAAGCTCACCTTCTGATATAGGAGAGAATAACTCAGAAGAAATCGGAGGATACAAAAGTAAACAGGATGTAAATGCTCCAGCTCATGGCAGCCGTTGAGAGTTGGCTTGTTCCTGGCCCTGCATCAGGAGCAACCATTTATTGAGTGCCTTCCAATGCCAGACACCTATTGCTGAATCTCATAGAATTCAGGTTTGTTATCGTCCCCTGCTTTTAGATGAAGAAACGAGCTCCCTCAAGGTGACACAGCTGGAAGGGGTGGAGCCTGGACCGAAACCCTGGGAATCATGAGGGGCAGGTTTGGTTGTCACAGTGATGTGGGTCCCCGCGTCGCCCTGCCACCAGAGAGCCCTGGAGCCATTACGTGGGACAGTTCTGCAGTAAAGAAGGACTTCTATTTTGAGTGATAAGGGAAATAAGCTGTCGGTGAGTTTGAGCAGAGGAGTGCTATGATCAATTTTTTTAAAAGACTTATTTATTTTAGAGAGTGTACGGCAGGGAGGGGCAGAGGGAGAGGCGAGAGAACCTCTAACAGACTCCCAACGCGGGACTTGATGTCATGACCCTGAGATCATTACTTGAGCTGAAATCAAGAAATCAGAGGCTCAACTGACAACCACCCAAGTGTCCCAGTCAATTTGTGTTTCCTGATGGATATGAGGAAAAGAGGAAGGTGGCTACCTCCCACCACCACAGCCTTTGTATTTTTCCCAGGAAGATGCTATCTACTTTCAAGTTCTTTTTTTTTTTTTTTAAGATTTTATTTATTTGACAGAGAGAGACATAGCAAGAGAGAGAACACAAGCAGGGGGAGTGGGGGAGGGAGAAGCAGGCTTCCCATGGAGCAGGGAGCCCGACGTGGGGCTCGATCCCAGGACCCTGGGACCCTGGGATCATGATCTGAGCCGAAGGCAGATGCTTAACAACTGAGCCACCCAGGCGCCCCTACTTTCAAGTTCTTAACCTTTCTAGTCAGATACATCCTTCAGGTTCTGGTTAAAATTCTTCCTCCTTCAAAGACTTTATGAGCCAAATCTGCTACGGATGGGCCACCCAAGTAAATAGTGCTGTCTACTTGACATTATCTCTTGTGATACTACAACAATTTTGGGAATTTCTGAGCCGCGCATCAAGTTACGGGGCGCTGTTATGGGGGAGCTGCATGGAAACTCTGGGGGTGTCAGGGAGTGAGTGAAATTAGAGGCAGTTGGAGGGAGTCCTACAGGCCTTGCAAGGGGATCCACCTGCACAATTGTGCAGATACAGGCTAATGTGTGTTTTTTTATGGGAGGGGCTTACAGCTTTTCTAAGATTCTCAAAGGGATCTGTGCCTGCCCACTGACCCACATCAAGAACTGCTGTATCACCAATTTCAAATTCTGACAGGACAGAAACAGGAGAGGTGAAATCATGGACTCACAGGATAGGGTAGGAGAGGAGCCAGAGGCTGGGGTTCCAGAACGCCCCATCTCCATCCAAATGGCAAAGTTAGCCGTGCACCTGCCTGGGGCATTCACATTCACTTGTTAGCACCTTTATTTGTCTCCTTAGCCTTCCATAGTGCCCCCTGGCCGAACATCATTCTTGCCTTGCGCCTTCTTTGCTTGGCATTTCTCCCTGAAACCTTCAGTGAAGCCACTCTTCTCCCGATTTCCCTTCTTCCTCTCCAGCAGCTCCTCCTTGAACCTCTTGAGGCTCCTCTTCCCCCCCTTTTCCCCCAAGAGTTTTGATTTTCTGTTTTTTTTTTTTTAATTTTTTTTAAAGATTTTTTATTTATTTATTAGAATGAGAGAGAGAGAGAGCACGAGAGGGAAGAGGGTCAGAGGGAGAAGCAGACTCCCCGCCGAGCAGGGAGCCCGATGTGGGACTCGATCCCGGGACTCCAGGACCATGACCTGAGCCGAAGGCAGTGGCTTAACCAACTGAGCCACCCAGGCGCCCTTCTGTTTGTTTTTAATTTAAATTTTTTTCTATGTGGCAGATTACATACAACATAAAATTTACCATCTTCACCATTTATAATTAGTTCAGTGGTACCAAATACATTCATAATGATTGCACCCATCACCACCATCCATCTCCAGATGCTTCATCTTGTAAAGCTGAAACTCTGTACCCATCAAACAGTAACTCCCCATTTTGTAACCAAATCCAAGTTCAAGTGCCTGACGTGCAGTAAAGCTGATCACTGAAACAGACTTCAAGTGTGCAGCAAGGCAAAAGTTTATTCTTGCAGCCAAATGAGGAGCCGGGAAGACAAGCTTCAAGTCGGCCTCCCTGAAGCAGGAGAGCCAGGGATTTTTAACAAGTGGAAAAGGGTCTGAGTAAAGGGGAGAGGAGTTACGTGACTCAAAATCAGATAAAGGAAGTTATGAAGTAAGGGAGGGTTCACTGCATTTTGTTGGGCCCTAAGGGGCGCAGTGTCCGGAGTGGTTCCAGTTGGCTTCAGGAGGAAACCTTAAGTTCCTGCAAAACAATTAAATTAACACTTAGCATCTCTCCCAGGGCTTTTAATACTCTGTACTGCATGATGTCCCCCCTCTTTTTTTTATCCCTTCTCAGTGATAGAATTATTGAAAGTTCTTTTATTTTTTTTAAGATTTTATTTATGTATGTATGTATGTATGTATGTATTTATTTATTTATTTGACAGAGAGAGAGAGAGAGATGGTGAGAGAGGGAACACAAGCAGGGGGAGTGGGAGAGGGAGAAGGAGGCTTCCCGCTGAGCAGGGATCCCAATGCGGGTCTCGATCCCAGGACATGACCCGAGCCGAAGGTAGACGCTTAACGACTGAGCCACCCAGGCGCCCCAAAAGTTCTTTTATTCAGGGTTTTTGTTTTGTTTTAGATCATGTATTGCTCTTGTGACTATAAACAAAATTAGTTGGTTAAAGTTTTCCTAAAACTTCCCCACATTAGTATTGTGACTTTCCACTTGGAGGCATTAAAGCCTGTACCTTCCACATAAGATTGCCTTTCTAGGCACACCTGGCTGGCTCACTTGGTAGAGCATTCAACTCTTGATCTCAGGATCGTGAATTCAAGCCCCAGGTTGGGTGTGGAGCCTACTTAAAAAAAGAGGGGAAAAAAAAGATTGCCTTCTCTCCCTCAAACACTTCCAGCATTTCCTAAAAGCCCACAAAAGAATTGAAAGCCACTGGTACTGGGCTCTTAAGCTGCCCACTTTATATAGTGCTAGCCAACATAAATAATTTTTTTTTTTTTAAAGATTTTTATTTATTTGACAGAGAGAGACACAGCGAGAGAGGGAACACAAGCAGGGGGAGTGGGAGAGGGAGAAGCAGGCTCCCCGCCGAGTAGGGAGCCCGATGTGGGGCTCGATCCCAGGACCCTGGGATCACGACCTGAGCCGAAGGCAGCTGCTTAACCAACTGAGCCACCCAGGCGCCCCATAAATAATTTTAACAAATGCAAAAAGGCATAATAAGTGTGCAGCCTGATAGATTATCCAAAATGAACATACCCAGGTAAACACTACCCAGGTCAAGAAATAGAACTTTACCAGCACCCCAGAAGCCAGTCTCCTGCCCCTTACCAAATATTATCCCCTCCGAGGTATTCAAAGGGAATCACTAATCCACACAATAGATTGGTTTTACCGGTTTTTGAACTTTATGTAATGGAATAAAACAGTAAGCACCCTTTTGAGACATAAAAACTTTTTTTTTTTTAAGATTTTATTTATTTGTCAGAGAGAGAGCACAAGTGTGTACAAGCAAGGGGAGCAGCAGGCAGAGGGAGAAGCGGATTCCCTGCTGAGCAAGAAGCCCGATGCGGGCCTTGATCCCAGGACCCTGGGATCGTGACCTGAGCCAAAGGCAGCCGCCCAACCAACTGAGCCATCCAGTTGTCCCGACATAAAAACTGTCTATGGTCAGTGCTGCCCTGTTTGGAGCTGAAAAGAACCAAGGACTGTTACAGGAGGAAGTGCAAACATACCTGCCCCTCCATATGTAAGCACAGGATGAAGGACATGGTCCTGCATCAGATAGAGACGTGGACTGTTCAGTCCTGAAATTCTCTGATTCCATGGTCAGCTGGCCAAAGTGTTTATCAAATCACCCTTGTATTAAGAATTTGTGTGAGGGGTGCCTGGGTGGCTCAGTCGGTTGGGCGTCTGCCTTCCGCTCAGGTCACCATCTCAGGGTCCTGGGGCGCCTGGGTGGCTCAGTCGTTAGGTGTCTGCCTTTGGCTCAGGTCATGATCGCAGGTCCTGGGATCGAGTCCCGCACAGGGCTCCC